CGCATTTGGGAGCAAATCCTACAACATCCCAAGTCTGTGGATGCAGCGGAGCGTTAAGTTGCACAGAGGGAGCAACTGGCTAAGGGTGGAGAGGCTTCAGTGCAAGCTGACTTGTTTCCTAGGAGCTATTTGTAGAAAAGTGTAGAGGGTTGTTGAGATGGGCTCTAGAGACTGCCTGCCTTGTTTTCTGTCAACATGGCAGTTGATGCTAAAACAGGTTACCTAAACTATTTGTCAAAAGTTGCCTCTTCAGAAATGGGCTTTGCGTGCTGGGTGTTTAAAGGGGAAAACTTACTTTTCCAGAAGTTGAAAGTCTACATACTGTATCTTTTTTTGTGAAAGATCTGATATATCTTGGTAGAAATGACTAGAGTTGGTACAGACAGGACCTTTTAACTTTCAGTGCTTTGTTCACAAGATCCTAGATGGATATGAAGAAGAGATTTTTATAAAACACTGATCTAATTTTTAAATAGTTTGAGGATTATTAGAGATTTATTTCTTTTTTAGTGGATTTTTAATTCCCATCTCAAATATTTCAAAGATAATGGTGATCATTACATCACAGACCAAATATTTTCCACTGCTATGCAAGAGAGGGATGAGACAGCTAAAATTTCCCTAGTTAGTGGCTTTCAACCAAAGGCTGACATGAATGAAAAAAAAGGCAAGAAACTCCAAGATGAGTCATAGAAGTGGGTGTTTCCATAGAGTAAGCTTTCCATAACAGGTCCAGCAATCTATCACTAGCGACCAAAGAATAGTAAACCACAGCACGGGACTGGCAGAGAGCAGTCCTTCTAGATACACAACACTGCTTCCTAACCCAGATTGTACCTGGGCCGCTTTCTTTGTAAGGGCGACAAGAAGTGAGTATGTCAGCAGTAGTGACAGAAATTGTTCTTAGAATTAAATTTCTTCATTTATATTTTAAATAGTTTTTGAATTCAAGATTATTTAGATCTGACTATGATCAAACTATCTTCTTGTTAAAATAAGATCTTACTTTCAGGGAAGGACAAATGAAATTTATGATAAATTGCCTGTATAATGTTAAATGACAGAAAACTAGAGATAGGTATGTGGAACTGGGACAATGCAACAAAATGGTGAAATCAGTTTATATGCAGACAAGATATATTATTTTTCAGCTAAGAAAGAGGGAAAAAAATAGGAGCAAAACTTGTATAGTTGTCATTTAAAAAAAAAAAAAGGAAAGTTGGGCGGGGGGGAGAATATCATAGTTTCTTTGAGTGAGTCCAGTTCATTTATTTTCCAGTTGGGAAGGAACATTACTTTGCCTGTAGTCTAAATTAAAATTTAAGTGTTTATAAAAGAATGTAAATTTGGTCCTCTAAAAATTGGTTTAAATGGTTTACTTCTGGAAAATCATTTGTTGAAATAAAACCAATGAAGAAGTTAACAATAAATTTGAAAACCTAAACAACTTCCTTTCTCTTCATCATACTTTAAAGGGTTTTTCCAGTCTTAAGAACCTTTGGCTGATCATTCTTATGAGATTTCCACTGGCAGAGGGGTTAGGATTATTTATTAGAGGTGGAAAAACAAGCATGATAAGTTTAACAAAAGCCAAAAACATTCTTGTGATGTTACGTTTAAAGAAATTATGACAACTTGGGAAAAAGAATGGAGATCTTTAAACTTGGACCAACAGAATCACACTGGTTTTTGTCCAGTGCCAAAGCAGTACAGTGTCATAAATTTGAAGAAAATGCGTGTTACCACAGGTATTGTAAAGTGTTCTTTAGTTGTAGTATTTTGTATGCTGGGGTGCAGTGTGTTGATAACCTGTTTTTTTAATCTTCTTTCATTATCATTTTTTATACCCTTTTAGTTTTGGCAAGGTACAAGTTTATATGTGAGACCTAATTAAAATCCATTCCAGATTAAGCTGATTAATACATCTATGTTGGCAAGTACTTGCGTTGTAAATATACTGCTATTGGTGCTATGTGAGAGAAAGTCACCTCAAATGAAAATAAAGAGTACTGTAATAATAATGATATCTAAGTATTTAGAGGGATACTCTTTGAATGCATAATATTAAAGAACAGCAAGTATCTAAATCTAACCTAATCTAAGTCTAACCTAAACCTAAGTATAATCAAACATTGGAATTTCCATTCAAATGCAAGAAAACTGTCTTTTTATTCCATGTTGCATAAAGGACTTAGAATATGGTTCTTCTTTATTAAAAAATAATGTTGGTTGACTCAAAACTTGGCCTTTTAGGGTTTTTTTATATATAAATTATTAGCATTTTCTTTAATTAGCTTGATTTCTTACGGAAACTAGGCTTTTGAGCAGCCTTCTCTACATGCATATGTGTTTGCGTTTGCGTGTATGTGCATCACAAAAAGAGCATGAACAAGTGAGAGTCATTACATTTGGCACTGTTTGGAGTAATTGTGAGACCGTTAATGGTTATCAGTCAAGCTAGCTACCTTTGCTATGTAATTCTCTTGCTTACTTAAGAATGACCCAGCTGTAGCTGAAAATCTTGCTGTTCATATTCATCAAAAGAAATTTTCAGACTGTTCTTCACATGATATGAGAACTAGGACTATATTTTAGAATATTGTATCTTTTTCTTCTAAACCTTTTTTTTTTCCACTGTACAGGTAACTAAGTAATTCCATCTTAGCCACTCTCTTGAACAGAATCTGAAAGATCTTTATCCCCAAAGCAAACAAAGCACACAAATAAATAAAATTTCAATCTAAGATACCTAAAATTGCTCATTTGTAAACAGACCTATTCTTTAAATACCTGCCTTTAGTAGGTAGGTACTTCCCAGTGTCACTGGAAATGTGGGTTGAAGTTCATTGTATTCTGGATATATATCTACCATCTCCACCAGTATGTAGATTTAACACAGCCAAGTGAGATGTATAAGTAAAGAGCATAAATTAGAGTGCAGTTTTGTGGAATGTTACTGTTTGGCCTGTTTAAGGTAATTATATATTACTGTGTGAATGTTTTGCAGATTAATAATCTTTGTTTCACTTTGAGACAATTTTAGGTTTTGTTGTTGTTGTTAGGCCAATAGGGACCTGTCTTAGAGATCCTTTGACATTTTTATGGGTTTGATTATCAAATTTTATCACTAGATTCTAGACCTGTTGTTCTCTGAAATACTACCATAGGCAACAGAAAACCATCATTTAATGTAGGGAAAATAGTCAAGGAAGAAAGCTTTCTGAGATGAGTGAATTTCAGCATCTACCTAAAAATGAAAGGATATGAAAACTCAGAATGAGTATCAGTTTTTCATTTTGAAGATACTTCTAGTATGTAAGATTCTGGTTTTATGTTTATTATATTTGTTTTACATCACTAAATGAATATATTCACACATGTCAGCATTTCTATTATTTTTCTCTTGATTTCAGTATCTACTGAACTTTGTTCTGTGGAAAAATTTAAAGTTCTTTTTTTAGGAAGAAAATCAAATAAATAATAAAATGAACAATGTCAGAGATGCTGCTCTTCTAGTTACACTAGATGTAACTTTCCCCCCAAGTCCAATACTTATTTTTAGTCCCTAGATTTGGCATTCCTGTACATCAAGGAAGTTACACTGCTGTACATTAAGGGAGTATTTCTTCTATTGTTTGCTGTTTTGGTAGACCACAGTAATTAAATAAGAGCCACTGCAGTCTCTTGGGGAGATAGCAATCAGATTTTTAAAAAGCTTTTGAATACAAGTATATTTGATAATGTCCTGTATATAAATAATTCATGTACTTGGTTCAGTGCTTATGCTCTTTTGAGGAAAATTTTGTTGTCTTTTAATGCTTGCTTATAGCCTGACGGAGTGGAAGAGACGTGAGAGGAGATTAAAAAGGTGCATGAAAGAGATATAAATTTATTCTTAGTTACACTAGTGACCAACAGCCCTCCCAAAAAACATGAGTTATACTTTCAATTTCTTTTTTTTACTTCTTTTTTGGGTGCATGAGGAGCTTATTAGGAAAGCACATCTTTGAGCAATCTCTGTTCCAGTGCTAAAGTCATGCCTATTTTGTGTCACAAAAATTCTCAGAGGAATACTGGGAAAGATCTTTTCATGCAGCCACAGCTTATATCTACAACATTCATCAGAACACAAAGGTAACTGGCTATACTGTTAAAAACAAAGGTATATAGAAAACTGGTGTCAATACTAGGTCTTTCTTCTTTGATTGCTCTTTAAATCCAGGATCATGCTTCTCATGCTTCTTCTGTCGGCAAAGATGTAGTCTGAAGTCTCTGTAGTAGATGCAGCTTTAAAACCGTGCTCTTTCAGAAATTTGGCACCTTTTCATTTTTCTACCTTTCAGTCTTCTCTTTGTCTGTAGTTACATCTAAAAGATGTGACTTTAAGAAAAGCAAGATTTATCAAAATGAGAAAGTGGATTTAAAATAAATGGTTTCTTCAAGACTATTTGTCGTGGTTTAACCCCAGCCAGCAACTAAGTACCACGCAGCCACTCACTCACTTCCTCCCCACCCATTGGGATGGGGGAGAGAATCGGGGGAAAAAAACCCAACCCAAAAACTCGTGGGTTGAGATAAGAACAGTTTAATAGAACAGAAAGGAAGAAAATAATAATGGTAATAATAACAATAATAAAAGAATTGGAATATACAAAACAAGTGATGCACAATGCAATTGCTCACTACTCACCAACCAATGCCCAGTTAGTTCCTGAGTAGTGATCCCCCCCCAGGCCAACTCCCCCCAGTTTATATACTGGGCATGACATCACATGGTATGGGATATCCCTTTGGCCAGTTTGGGTCAGCTGTGCCAGCTGTGTCCCCTCCCAACCTCTTGTGCCCCTCCAGCCTTCTTGTCAGCTGGGCATGAGAAGCTGAAAAATCCTTGACTTGGTCTAAACACTACTTAGCAACAACTGAAAACATCAGTGTGTTATCAACATTCTTCTCATACTAAATCCAAAACACAGCACTATACCAGCTACCAGAAGGAAAATTAACTCTATCCCAGCTGAAACCGGGACACTATTATATCATTATTTTTTGTTATTCACACTGGATCCTGCATTCTCAAGTCTGCTGTTTTACAGAGAAGAGGAAAGTGGGACTTGCAGCTTTCTGAAAGTAGGCCTCTAGCTAATTACTTCGGTAATCAATTTTCTCCCATTACCCGCATTTATATCTAGGTCTTATTTTACCATTTTATCTAAAACATGCCCTGCTGTAGGTGCAGTTCCTTTTAAAAACTATTTTCCAAAGGCTCCATGACGTCAGTTTGTCCCTTCACAGGTCACTTGAAACTTCTAGTTTGTCAGACCTCTCAGTAGATTTCTTGAACAATTTTTCTTCTGGTATAAGACAAGAATTATGAATGTCTGTCCTGACTTTCGGACAAAATGCAGTAATAGCCATCCTTGATTTTGGAATTTTCAGTGCAGTGGGTATAGTAAACGGAGCACAAGATGATAGTCGTGTTTTGTGCATCTTGTTATTGTCCTTTACACGTCTAGCAGCTAGCTTGCTTGCAGTAAATTTAACTTGTCTTTTATCCTGGTTCTGATAGTAAATCCTTACTGAAAGAGGCTGAAATGGTTTGTGTTAAATTTGATGCATACTGAAACTCCACACAGTTGTTCCTGATATAGACAGGCTGTTCCTGCAGTAGAAGGCTGTAAAGACAGGTTTCTAGTAAAATTGGTGGATCACGCTTTTCTGTTTTATTATCTTTAAATATTACTGAGGTACTCCATTAATTCCAGCTGTAAGTTTACTGTGTGGGAAGTGTAATTTTTTTTGTACATAGAGTAACTGGGGGAGGGAAAGAGAGTTTAATTTGTTATTAAAGAGACAACATAATTATATGCTTTATTATGAACAATTTTTACACAGAAATGTGAATGACTAGGGACCTCTACTGACTTGTAAACAAAATCATTGCAGTTGAGTATTTCGCAGAATTTGTCAAAAGCTAATTTTTTTTTTTTTTTTTTTTGAAGGAACTTCATGTTGGTGTTGTTTATGCCAGAACATAGTAAGCAAGGCAAATTAACTCCAGCCTTGTGTAAACTTTTAATTGGCCAACACAATGCAATTGAGTATGAATTCCAGGTGGCTTTGGAAATGAAAGAGAACTGAGCTCTCTGGCTGGAAGCTGAACGTGATGACGGCCTGGTCTATGGTAGGGAAGCTGAAAATGGAGAAGAGGCACTCCAGAGAAGACAGAAATGTGGAACAAGACGCTGGGGAATGCAGTGCTGAATCTGAGGAATGGACGAGCTCAGAAAGTGAACCTGAGCAACCATACTTCAGAAGCAGCTGTAGCAATACTCAGTGGAGAGAAAAGGAGGTTTCCACTAAACCACATCGGCCACTCTGTCGGTCCCCTTGTTTGGATCGCCCAAGTTTTTCACAGAGCAGTATCACGCAAGACTTGAAGCTAGACGAATGCAAAACAAATTTGGACAAGGAATACCAAGCTAAAATGGATTTTGCTTTAAAGCTTGGGTATGCAGGAGATCAGATCCAGGCTGTACTGAATAAATTGGGAGCAGATGCGCTCATCAATGATGTTCTGGCAGAGCTTGTGAGACTTGGCAACAAAAGTGAATCAGAGGGACAAAGCAGTGCCAGCAGTACCACCAGTACTCTGGTACCAAGAGGCCCTTGCCCAAAGGAAATAGCAAGCCCTGAATTGTCACTTGAAGATGAAGTTGTGGATAACAGTGATAACTTGAGGCCAATTGTCATTGATGGAAGCAATGTGGCTATGAGGTGGGTCTCCCTGTCACAACATTTGAAAATAATAAATCACTAAAATATTTATAAGAAAAATCAGTATTGATGGCAAAGTAATTTTAAGTCACGTAGTATATTTTACACTGACAATACATCTCTTTTTATGGACTCTTTAGTCCAGGCTTTTAATTATGCTGTTACTCCTTTATATGTAATCTGTGTTCCAATTTCCTTCTCCCCCTTTTTCAAACTAAGTTCTCCCATCAAATCTTTTGTTCTAGCAATCTAGCTGTAGTGTGCTTTTGTTTGAATGGGTTTAATTTTTTTAAGTCCTTGAACAATGTTGAAAATTATTTTTCTTTAATGTCCAGAGGCAACCAAATAGGGGAGGAAGACTTGGTTCTTTCTAAAATGACATGCAGTGTATGCTGATGATGTGCAGTGGACTTCAGGTTATTTGAGCTCCTCCTGATCAAGCCTGCTTAGAATTCAAAGCAATTTATCTGTGTCAGTAGAGGGATATGCATGAGCTAAATGTGCTGACTTGCATGGCTATGGTGCTTGTCATTTCAGATGTGTGTACACAAGTGCACTTGGCTGCTTGGGTTAACAGTAACTCGAGAGATACCTGTCCCATGCCAATTTTGAGCATGTCTATATAATACACAATTCAGCTAGCCAATGATTTGTTTGTCATTGAGAAAGTATTATTTTCTATGAGGGAGTTCTTTAAACAGTCTGTTTAATCATCAGTGATACCAAGCTTTCTTCAGGTGGTGTTTGCACAATAGATTTCCTTTAGTATCTGCTTTCTGCTCTAAAAGAATTTGTGATCTGAATTATTTTTTTTCTATGTATTAAGAAAATTCAGATTTTTATAGGTGTATTGAGTACTCTGAGTTTTGAAATACATAAACCCCCCAAATCCTACAAGAATATTTTATATACTGGATTTTCCAGTGCCAAGTTGTGGTTACATCAATCCAAAAGATGTTTCTATAAAGCAACATCACCAATGTTGGATTTAACTTTTTTCTTTCCTTTTTTTTTTTCTGTGCTTGTTGAATTTGTAGTCTCTGTACTGCTTGAGTTACTGCTGAGCATAATGTGGCAGCAACTGGAGAAAAGTGTACGTGTACTCTTTACTGTTGCATAGCTTAGAACTGATGCTCTATTTATGTATAGAATCATAGAATATCTCAGGTTGGAAGGGACCCATAAGGATCATCGATTCCAACTCGTAACAAAATGCATATGCATCTGAAATGTACAAAAATCTAAAGAAAAAATGCTTTAGCAACATTGCAGCTTCTGTATTCATTATTTAAGTTGCAAGAATTTGGACCACGCTAGTGATCCGTAGGCCTTACTCATACAGATGGTACTAGATCTGTCTACCTTTGGTCTGTTTCAGTGTTACTTTATTTAACATTTTGAGCCAGGAAGAGCATGCATCTTGCTATGGTCCAGTAATCTGTGATGTTGTTCTATAATAATAATAATAACAACAACATTGAAGTAAAATTTTGAATGATAATCTATAGAATAATGCTGAAGACAATTTTAATAAGATGCAAATCTCTTAATTGTGCATCATCTGCTCTACAGACTGAGAATATCTGAAAAGTGCAAGGGTTATACACTTCTCATGCTTAAAAATACTGCAATTATTGATAATGCAAATGGAGGCCTTGCCTTTATGGTAAAGTGTGTCTGTTGTAACTGAAAGGTGGCTTTATATGGAAAATGGAACCATTTCCATTTTCAGTATTGAAATTTTCTTGAAGTAAACAGTTTTGGGGGATGCTACACAGAACTAACAGCTTGGAACAGCATGGTGCAGCAGCTGGATGCCACTTTGTACAGTCAAATGCTGGCTGCTTCAAGTAGTGGGAGGAGTACCTAGCATTATATAGCACCACAAAGCCTCCTTAATTACAGCCAACTGTGTGGACTGCCAACACGCTTCAGGGCTGCTATAGCAGTTCTCTCCTGTGTCTTCTGCTCAGCACTGCTACCTAGGCCCCTTGTGTTTTTTTTCTAATAGGGAGCATCATTGGTGCGCATGGCCTCCCCTGCCCTTACAGTGTTCTGTAACCCTCCCTGACCTGGCCGCTCAACCACTTTTTTGTGGTGAGGATCTCGTTCCTCAATACGGCATCACTGATGTGATTCAGTTAGCACCTTTTGCAACAGATGGAACGATTTGAAGAAATTAATTAATTTTCTTCACAAATTAATATATAAGTCTCTTCAGAAATAATGACTGGTAGGTGCCAAACTAACTGGGCAGCATCACTCCTCCTATCACAACTGATGAAAAATTGCAGCTATGTTGAGAAAGGGGGAAAAAAGATTGAATTAATACATTTTGAAGAGTGTGCATCAAGGAGCATAGTGCTGGCTTACTAGTCTACCCTTTTCAGATGCAATTTTGGAAGTAGTTCACTTTGCTAGCCAAACTCTGCAAGTGTGTAACAAAGAGCGTTGTTGTTGTTTGGTGGGGTTTTGTGTTTGGTTTTGGGGTTGGTTTTGGTTTTTGTTTTTGTTTTTTTTAGTAAAAAGAGCAGATCAATTTTTTTTTCTCAAGTAGTTACAATATTAATGGAAAAGAACCAGAACCCTTAGTTTTTATTATTCAATTATGCGGTGTAGCAGTAATATATGCACTCTGTTTTTCAGACAAAGAAAATGTCAGCTTGAATCTAAATATGAAATTCAACCATAATGCAAAGATCTGTGTGTCTCTTACCTGTGTAACTACTAAGGATATTATAATTAAATAATAATTAAATGTCGTCATCTTCTCTTATATATGTGCTTATGTATTATTCAGGCATTCCTAAACTATTTCCTGAGAGGATTTAAAACCTGATTCTTTAGTTCAGTCTACATTTAGCAAACCAAGATAGGTGTACCCATGAGGTAGACTGAAAAAGATTCATAATTAAGATTCTCCTTAGTTTCTATCAAACCTTTGAAGAATTTCTTTTTTCCTTTGCAGAAACTTCTTACGCCATTCTAAAAATTAAATCCCTTTATCTGAATAGTGTGCTGTTTTAGAGACTCCTGTGTGTTTCAGAAAAACAAATTGGGGGGGTGTGGGGTGTGCTTAAACAACTTTGAGAGAGTTATTTCTTTCCCTTAAAGAGAAAAAGTCCTAGTAAAAAATGCAGAACACTTAATATTAATGTACTTTTTTAATCTAGATGTTTAAAAGCACCTATCACCCATGACAGCCAGCATTGTTAGTTCATTCCTTTTTTGTTATTGATAACTTTTTATGGTACTATTTAAGGTAAGCTCAATTTGTGGGGAAAGTGATATTTTTCATTAGCTCAGCTAATAAAAAGCAGAAAAACTTCATGCTTATTTGTCTTTGCTTTTGGGATAGTGAAATTTCACCATTTCTAGAGTTTTAAGTAGCAGTGTTGCTGTAATCTGATGGCTGGATAGCTCTGGACAATTGTCTTTTTTCCAGTTATGTAAGCTGGTCTAATAAAAAGGTTTACCTATCTTTACAGACTTTGTTTCCCTTGTATCCTTAGACCATGGTAGCTTTAGAAGAAAAAAAACAAACCCCAAACCAAACACACCGTAACAACAAAAAACAAAACCAAATGTAACTTTTGTCCTTGCTGTTTCTAAAACTTTTGCATGTCCTTCAGCCATGGGAATAAAGAAGGATTTTCCTGTCGGGGAATTCAGCTAGCTGTTGATTGGTTTCTGGAAAAAGGACATAAAGATATCACTGTGTTTGTACCTGCATGGAGAAAAGAACAGTCCCGACCTGATGCACCAATTACAGGTAACAGATCAAGATTTTCTTTGACCCCTTGGTTAAAAAGAAGAAAAAAGAATTGCATTAAAACACAACCATGTTATCTTTCTGATGGGTACTACGTACTGGGCTGTGGATGTGGTGTTGCACGATGATGTTGCACTCAACTGTTCATTTGGAAACGCAATGATTTCACTGGTGAGGAAACAAACATTTAAGTATCTGCACCTGTAAACAATGCTGGTTTTTTGTAACATTACTGGATCATTGCAACACTTTTGAGAAGTAGTAGTCATAATTTTCCCATTAGCAATCATTGTTAAGCATAGAGGACCTGATTCTTAGTTGCTGGGTGAGTATAAAATAAGTATTATCAGGCCAGGGACTCATTTAGTAGGATTATCTTGAACACTGAAGAGGCAGCATGTGCTTTGACCCATAGAAGGTGCTTATGTTTTACTCCAGGCTAACAGGAAGGATATTGCAATACAGTAACAACTGAGTTCTTCACATGTTCAGGAAGATTGAGTAAAGGTATACAGTTGTTTACAGAGGAGTAGAGTGGTTGTGAAGCTTAAATATTGAATATTTACCCAGTGCTTTGAAACCTCAGAAATCAAATGGCACTCTGCATCTAGGTATTTTTTTATGATAAGGGGGACCGTATATGAACATAATTACAAAATACTTTGTCAGATAAGAGGGCAAGAAGTTTCATATTTCAAAGGCTGCATTTCTTTCTTTTAAAACTTTTTAAAAGCTGCTTAACTAAAATTATTTTACAGATCAAGAAATCTTACGGAAATTGGAGAAAGAGAAAATTCTTGTTTTCACCCCATCTCGAAGAGTTCAGGGAAGAAGAGTAGTTTGCTATGATGATCGATTCATAGTAAAACTTGCTTTCGACTCAGATGGCATCATTGTATCAAATGACAACTATCGGGATCTTCAAAATGAAAAACCAGAATGGAAGAAGTTCATAGAGGAGCGGCTGCTAATGTATTCTTTTGTGAATGACAAGTATGTTTTTTTCTTCAAAAGTAAGGGAATTTGGTAATTCAGAATCCTCAGTAAAAACTGAAATTCACATTTAATTTCTTTCCCCTTAGATTTATGCCTCCTGATGATCCTTTAGGACGCCATGGTCCAAGCCTTGAAAATTTCTTAAGGAAAAGGCCAGTTATTCCTGAACATAAGAAACAACCGTGTCCTTATGGTAAGTGCCTAAGTCAGATTGATTTGTTGTCTTCAAAGGTAGGTGAAGCAAGCAATTAATTAACATCTTGTCATTACTGAAAAAAAAAAAGTGTCATTTTTTGTGTTGCCAGCCAAGCACTACATCCATTTTTATACCCTTCATACACATATTAATAGACACAATGTAGCAGAAAATTAAGGATTACCAGATATGTGGATAACACAGCTTTTTGCTATTTTCTTCTGGTTTTTATTCAAGGAAGGAGATTCATAACTATACAAACTGTGTTAGACCAGTTTTGTTTTATATAGCATTGAGTATGTTTGTTGTCAGTATTGAAATCATGAGCCAGTAGGAAGAAAAGTGATGTGTCTTGCCCTTGGTGCAGTGATATAAGTGGATACAGGTCACAGAGTCTATGACTGCCTGTATATACAATATATATGAGTATTCCTCAGGGGGTTAATCTAGAAATATTACTATCGAGAAGTGGTGGAAGATATAAAGAAAAAAGATAGCAGCTAGTGGTATTGATTAGTTTTTGCTTTATTTAACCTGAAAACACTTTTCTTCCAGGTAAAAAGTGCACCTATGGGCACAAATGTAAATATTACCACCCAGAACGGGCAAACCAGCCTCAAAGGTCAGTAGCGGATGAGCTTCGAATAAGTGCCAAATTATCTGCTGTGAAAACTATGAGTGAGGGAGCCTTGGCCAAATGTGGCACAGGGTCATCCAGCTCCAAAGGAGAAATCAGTTCTGAAGTGAAACGCATTGCCCCAAAACGTCAGTCAGATCCAAGCATTAGATCAGTAGCTGTGGAGCCTGAGGAAAAGTTATCAGTAGCCCGGAAGTCTGAGGCCAGCTCTGTCCCGTCTCTGGTTTCTGCATTAAGTGTACCAACGCTCCCTCCACCAAAAAGCCATGCAGCTGGTGCATTAAATACTCGTTCTGCAAGCAGTCCGGTGCCAGGTTCCTCACAGTTCATGCATCAGAAATCCTCACTGGAACATATGTCCAGTGTGCAATATCCTCCTATACTAGTCACCAATAGCCATGGCACCTCAGTTAGCTATACTGACCAGTATCCCAAATATGAATCATTGGGGGACCATGGCTATTACTCCTTACTCAGTGATTTCTCCAACTTGAGCATAAGTAGTATCCGTAACACAGATTATTACGGGGCTGATATGGACCAGGGGATGTATTCTAGAAACTCAAGCCCCTGTCCTGACAATTGCTTAAGCCATACAAGTAATGATTCTTATTCCTCTTACAATGACTTGTATCTGGGTGTAGCAGATGCCAGTCCAGAAGACAATGTGAAGATCCACAGACTGCCATCGCAAAATCGACTTCAGCCTTTTTCCCATGGTTACCATGAAGCCTTAAATAGAGTTCAGAGTTATGGAACTGAAGAGCCTAAGCAATCCCTTCGCAAACAGTCAGTTTCCCACTTAGGCCTACATGCCCAGCATCCAGTTGTTGGAGCACGGTCCAGTTGTCCAGGCGAATACTCTGTGCCTCAAAATGTTCATCCATCAACTGCACAACCAAGCCGTGCCTTGGTCATGACGCGAATGGACAGTGTTTCTGACTCACGGCTTTATGAAAGTAACCCTACAAGGCAGAGAAGACCACCTCTCTGTCGAGAGCAGCATGCTAGTTGGGATCCATTACCATGTGCATCAGACTCTTACACTTACCACTCGTATCCACTGAGTAACAACCTCATGCAGCCATGTTATGAACCTGTAATGGTAAGAAGTATGCCTGAGAAGATGGAGCAACTCTGGAGAAATCCCTGGATTGGGATATGTGGTGAGCCACGGGAACCTCATATCATCCCAGAACATCAGTATCAAACATACAAGAACCTCTGCAATATTTTCCCTCCAAGCATTGTCCTTTCTGTGATGGAAAAGAATCCCCACATGACAGATGCACAACAGTTGGCAGCTATGATTGTTGCCAAATTAAGAACAGGGCGTTAAAGCATTACAGCTTCTTTTGGATAAATGAAACTATACAGCCTATAGGACCTGGAGGAAAACTTAAATGATGAAGGAAGGGGCCAATCTATTGTAAATATTTTCTACTAAGATAGTATAAAATTCTGTACACAGTAGCAATCATACATATGCTGAGGCACTATATAAGAGTTGATTGTATTGTAAATTTTAAGATTTTAAATATAGGGATTTTTTAATAGTATTTTATAGGAAATGCATACCTTGCTGCATGGATAGCTCATTAAGAACTACAATGTCACGTTCAGTGTCTCAAAGCTGTTACTACAAAATTACTGTTAGCAATTATATTGCATGTATTAGTGTACACTTTCAATTTGCTTATAAATATCTAATCGGCCTTTAAAAGTATGCTCTATACACGCCCAGATGACTTTTAGGGTTTCAGCTTTGTCATTTGACACTGCTTACTGGCATATTAAATATTGACGAAAAAGTAAACTTGACAAAAGTTAAAGCACTCAATTTGTAAAAGAAAAAACTGATTTCAGCTTTTGAATGTCAATATTGTTGTTGGTACTTAAATTTCAAAACTGTTCCCCAATAGGTTGAGTATCTATTATATTGTCCAATACATTGGCTCAATCCAACAGAAGCCAAATACTTTATTAAATTAGGACCAAAACATTAAGGAGTGTGAAGGTGTGAGTGCCATTCAATAAACTAAAAGAAGTTTAACTGTAGCTTCTCTCTTCAGAATTGCCCCTCAACTGTGCAGTAAGCACAGATGACCCAGTCAGCCCAGATGACTAGACAAGCTGACTGTAAATTGTCAGTTTTATGTAAATTGGATTACTCAACCTGAAGCAGTGGAAACTGGGCATTAACATGGAAGCTCATCAATAACTACAGCCCTTCCTCTGGGGCAAGGATGGTGTTTAAGTGAGGCTAACAGTCAGAATGGCTGTACAAGATCAACTTGAGAAGGGGGGGGGGAAATGCCTCTTGAAAAGAGATGCTACAGTTTGGGTTTGTGGCAAAGCTGGCCTGGTTGGTTTTGCTCTTCAGATCCACGCAAAGGTGTGCATTTGCCTCATGAAGGCTTTTAGAGTTCCTGTTTCAACAGGTGAGATAATTTTGTGTGGCATTGTTTGCGCAACTGGTATCTTGCTCAGGGTGGGAACCTTTGTAGCTAAATGTCTCCAAAAGAGGCGTTTATTGTTTTTTAAGCTGCACTGACTGGACGCCCTTTTTTGAATCCATTGTATATTTCAGCATTTCAAACCATTACTAACTCGATATGTCTCGAGCTAGGACTTGTTGACTTCTACTGTAGTTTTTTTCATGAAAGTTGAGAAGGCCTGGTTTATGGCCTTTTGTTTCTTCATGAGAAGGTGTGACACTGCCTAAATGTTTCTTACTGTGAAACACACGGAACGTGAGGCTGCAGTCAGGGTTGTTTCTGGTGTTTTGATAATGGCTTGCATGCTGCTTTCTAGTTATCTGTTTGTCTGAGGAACAAAGTTATATAATTTCCTCCACTTGTGTTACTGTAATGGTTGGTTTGATTCAAAATATCTTGTGGGCTCTCTATCATGTGTAAAATATGTTCCTGTCATATATTAAAAAGAACCCCAAACCAATAACAAACTACAATTACAGGTGCAACTACAGTTAATTTACTGATATTTGATAACCGTATCATTTCACACAGGATGAATATTCTTGTGTTGGTACAGGTAACGTATATAATGACCATGTCATTATGTATTTAAAATGAATTAACTTGAAGGTAATTCTGTATTTACACTTGGTGTTTGAAAATAACTTAAGTTTTAATTAGTTGGTTATCATCTCTGTTAATGGGAAAAAAATAAAACTTCAGATATTTTTAATAGTTGGGGAAAACAGATTTAACTCTTGACCAGTTTTCAAAAACATTTCTTACTAACCAGCATTTTATATTTTTAATTTGCGATTAATTCTTATTCTCTTCTCTTGCATGGTATAAGCAGCTGAGAGCAATGCCTCAAATAACCAGAAATGACCTTTTGTTTGTTGATACAAATTGTATCTCTTTTTCTTGATTGTATAAAAACTGTGTATAAAAAAAAAATAATCTCTAGATTAACTTCAGTATTACATTTTCACCACAATGTTTGTGACACCATGTGTCACAGGGAAGTAGCCCATGAGTAATTATGGATCTTTTTTATTTAAAATGGGCACTTGTAGTTTATAGACAAACAAGGACAACTTTTCAGAACCAGTTTATTATGTGCACAGATACTGTGTGTACACCTCAAAGCATTACATAGTTATCTTTAGTCTATTTATTAAGCAGATACATTCTTGCACTAAACTTTATGTAAAAATGTTGCTGTTAACTCATCTGCATGTGTTTAAAATGTAACAATATAATTGCTATAGACCCTGCTTTATTCGTAACGGATTAATTTATAAATTATTTAGGTATAAAATGAAGTTTATTGTGCACTCATGTTTCCACCTTGCACGGAATTAAATATTCGTATGTAGAAAAATGTTTGTTCCCTTTTTCTCCAATTATAAAGATAAGCTATTTTAAGAGAGGTTTAGTAGGTGTTTTTGATGTTTTCTAACATGGAAAACTGAGCAGAAATTTCTGTATGAAGTGCGAGGTGGTTTATGGAGATAGTCATTTTTGTAGGATTTGTCTAGTCATTTTAATTTTCACTAACTTTTGTCTTGCTGATAAGAGTAATTCCTTTTTCAACAATGGGAATGCTATGCCAATACAAACCCAGCATACTATTTCCCTAAGGCACTTTGAAGGCAAATTGTCTTTTTCTAAGAAGCTATTAGCATCTATCATGCATAGAGTTACAGAATGGGCAGTGTGGCCTTGTGGAAATAATTTGCAAATTTTGTGCTTGATTAGCCCTCCTTAGAGGTAACAAAACTTTTGTATGTGATGTAGTCTTTCCTAATCAACTACTATAAGTGATAATTCAGTCATCCACATCTGTTTTCAGATATGTTTACAAGCCAATTCAAAACACTGACACATTCATTAATCTTCAGCGCATAAGCTTAGATTTCTTCTTACATGGAAGAGTTGATCTTACTAACACCTGATCATAACTGTCTATATTGTAAATATAAGACTTTGTATAAATGCTCTTTTTGAGAGCATGGTATTTAAATGTTTTTAAAACTGTAAGAGAACAGTTCTAGAAACTATATTTTAATAAAATCCATGAAATTACAATTCTAGATGAGAGGAAAAAAAAAAAGTGGGAAGGTAAAATCCTGGCCTACTGCAATCAGCAAGAGCTAAGCAGTAGACTTCAGTGCTTTGCTGGGGCTAGAGTGTTTTCTGGGAGTTCTGATTTACTGATCTTTCATCTTTAGCTATATTACTTTCACATAATTTGTCACTTAAAAGTGTATAACCTTAAATTCATGAATCAAAAATCGAATGCTTTATGGGATGTCAGTCCAGTTTAAGTTATTTAATGGGGTTTTTTGTAAGAATTACATGTCAGTAATATATATTAAATTGTACATATAGATGATTTCACTACTGTTAGTCCTGTTGTTGTTGTATTGAGCTGCAGTAGTTGGCTTTATTCATTTGTAGAATTAAACATTATTGTTTGTTGTAAAATTTTATAAATCTCTTTGGGTTTTTTTGGTTGACCCAAATATAATGTAAGTCTTAATGACAAAATGAGTGAAAATGGATGTTAAACCAGTATGTGGTATTCGTAAATCTCTGTAGTAATAAGTGTGCACTGCTCTAGTTGCTGCCGCATGTAATTCATTCACTAGCATGAGTCTGTTTAGCTTTTGTAAAAATACTTTAATTGTAAACTTAAAAATGGAAGGTGTGGGTATGGTTGCTCAGAACAAGCAGAAGGATCCTCATTAAAAAAAAACAAACAAAACCGAAACATCTATCTGGGCGAGTTCTCCCCTACGTACTTTTAATGCCAGTTTGCCTCAGATTGTGAATTTTGGCATTTTGAAATTCTTAATGATAAAAGTCAGAACACACCAAGAATCTGTCCAAATAATTCAGTTAAAAAATACTTGGTGACATGCATGTATACCTGTGTTGTATACCAAACCACAAACAGGAACATTTCAAGGGACATATTTAGACTATAGCAATTCTTAAAACTCCATGCTAAAGAGAAGGACCATGCATCATTTCTGTGAGACTTTGCTCCACAGAGTTGAGATATTACTTTATCTTGACTAGCCAAAAGTTTACCTGAAGCATTAGTACCAGAGGACTCACAATAGTCAGATCATTAGATCTGTCACTATTATTTCCATGGAGAGTGTTCAGCTTTAATATTCCTCTTACGTACCCATAGCTTGTCTGTGTGACACAGCCCTTATTAACTGTATTTCTTGCAGTATTTCAACTGGAAAAATACAAGTGCACCGTCACTTCAATTCTTCTCATGCCAGTGTTTGGTTAGCCTTTGAAGAGCCATTAGACAATACTGATGATTTTTACTGTGGTATTTAAAGTTTGTAAATGTATTAGAAGACTTGAGAGAAGAATCTAAAAGAAATATAGGCTATTACCTGTTCCCCCCCGCTCTGTGTAAAAGGTTTGCACAATTATTTAATAATATGAAACATGTTATACTTTATATATATATATATATAAATTTGCTTATTTAATAAAACTGAGAGCCATTGGATTATTTGTATCTAGCTTTTTATTTTGTAACCCTCTTTAGATGAGAGCCCCCAAAAGCTGTTTTGTCCAAAACAAGTGTTGTAGTCCAAATTATTTTTCAGTATTTTTAGTTGACTTACTGAAAAATACCCAGATTCTGAAATCATAACATAATGCTCAAATGTTCCATCTGTGCTTAAATCTGTGAAGGAATAGGACAAGAATTTTACATTTCTTTAAAAAGCAGAGAAGAAAGTACTACTTAGGTCCCACTGTCTTGTCAGAATAACATCCCTTGTCCATCTCTGTATTACACAGATTTAAAGATCATCTCAGTCTGAAGTTGCCTGAACTTCTCACTATTACCATGTTTGTTCTCACAATGGCCAGGAACCAGGGGATTCAAAAGACACCACACAACCAATCAAAACCAATAAAATACATGTATTACAAAGTTGCTTTTTCCTAATCCCAGGCCCTTTATGCTTAATTTACATCCTCAAGTATATCACTCCTGAAAACAAGTAGTAATTAGATTTCATGGGATATTCGTACTGTTCCAGTTTTTGCCCCAAAACTGTGACCCCTGGGTCGTGCTGAAGTCCTTGTCAGAGTATCTGCCTTTGGGAATGAGAGAACAGCATACTGAAGACTTGAATAGCCAGCAACAAATTATCCTAATAAGGTTCCACTACTCTGTCCAATTACTTACATTGGAAAGAAATTCAAAAGGTGGAAAAAGCCAGGAAAAAGGGCTCACAGGCCACAAAAACAGTGGACCCAGGCCTTAACTTCCTCAGCAATTCCTCTCTGCATGATTTATTCCATATATATTTATTCCATATAGTCCCAGCTTCTATCTCCAATCCTTTCTATAGCTTCCCTTTAGAGATGGGTTTTTTTGGACAGTGAAAATCTGTCTGGAGAGATTCATTTACAGGGAGAAAGCAGTCTCAAGAAGGCCTGCCCAATGCAAAGGAAAAATCAGGTAATCTAGAAATACAGCACATTGCCCTTCCTATCCCCACTCAGAATGTGCTTCTAGCAAAGAAAGTAATTAGCATGTTGAAAACACATTTTACCAAGTAAACTTTTACCAAAGGGGAAAAAAATTACATGTAGCACAGTATTTTGCTAGTATTGCCCTTTCCTTTTTAAACTGTTATGTTTGCATAACTCAGAAGTACCCAATACAGTAACTGTTTTCTTACTTGCTCTTCAAGTCATTTGAACTGGCTGGATTTAAAGGTTAAGATTATCTATGCATTTATTTTGTATTATTCATAGTAACATTGTCATTTTGCAGGTACTTGGGAAAGTAGCTACAAAATTGTTCCTGTGAATTAATCAGATCAAAAAACCACAAAGTTTCATAATCCTGAACAAGGTGATACATAATTGTCTAGGTTTTACACTTCTGTTTTTTAATAGAAGCCCTTTCTTCACTTTTTAAAACCCAAAACATTTGTTTCTTTTCTCCAGCCATTCTTCCCCCCGCCTTTGTTTCAAGCCTGCTTCCCCCCCTACCCCCCCAGTAACACTTAGTTTAAATTTCATGCCATTAGTATGGCTTCTCCTCAAATCTTGGTATTCTTTTTTTTAAAGCATCTGGCAGTTTTGTGCTTTTCTACGAGTCAGCCACAGCGCTGGATTTAACTATTTATTTGACTCTGCAATTAGATCAAGGACCAGGTTTTTATTCCATAATTCACTAGGTGGGGTAATGGCGGATGCACAGGGCAGTAACTACTACAGCTGATGAAGAAACTACAGTAGCACATGATTTTACCAAGTAAATCTTCACCAAAGCAGAAAAAGGTTACATGCAGCACAGTATTTACCAGCATCACACCTTCCTTTTTGAACTGTTGTGCTTGGTTGCACTGACAGACCTCTGAAGTACCAAATACAATACTTAATTTAATTTCATATTCTACCAAATACAGTAATAAAAGAATAAATCCTCTTCACTAAAAATTGCCTAAATAAGCTTGAGGAACTGCTGGGTAAAAGGAGATATTTCTCAAAATACTAGAAAGGGGAAGGACTTACATGGAAAAATCTCTCCTAAAAGAGAAGTTTGTTTTCTTTTGCACTAGCACTACTTGTTTTTAGAGAAGGAAATGTACAACATGTTTTAAATAACTTTTGCCTGTCTGGTAAAGAGCAACTGCAGTAGAACAGGATGACAAAAAATTAGAACAAAGAAATATTACTTACATTATGGACCTTTAGCTAAGCCTTTACTTGAGAGCCAGCCCAAAGCATCCATGAAGTTGCTGTTCTAAACTTGCAATTCAATCCTATCCACTGTACTGCTAAAGTTGTATGTCCCTTTTTGTATCTCTTTCTACAGAACATTAGCACATAATGTCAGCAGTAGCTCTAAAGAACTAAAAAGATTCCATCACAATGCTGCACTGACTCGTTCCTGTTTCTGTTTGGTTTGTAAATACTGCAAATTACCAGACTGACTCAGAGGAAAGCTCTGTCTTACCCACTAGCAGATACACTCCAACAAATTCTTACTGAGGAGTCCCACAACGAATATATGCTTGAACTCCTGACAGGTAACTGCAGAAGCCTCTAAGTTCCAAGAACCTTTAATACAGGTAAAGAAAACTGAATTTACAAAAAAATAAGTGGAGGTCCTTTTTCTCAACAACTTTCCAACAAGGTACTCAAGTCCATTACTGCAGTAATCACACTAGGTCTCAGCAAAGACCACAGCATTAGTTATCAACCTCAGCAAAATAACAAATAGAAATAACATCAAGAAGAAAACTAATTAAAAAGAGATAGTAGAGGCCTCAAAACTATCACTTGAAAAAAATGCTGAGAAAAAAAAATTTAAAAGATACTCATGCGCTATGGTGCATTCAGCCATGCTGTAACTAGGCTGGATCCCTGACACTTCATGTGAAATCCTAGCTAGATGAAAACTGTAGCACAACCTTATCCTGGCAAAATCACGCAAACTCACATAGGACAATATTAGCGTCACTGAAATAGGCAGGGCTCAATAGCCTGGCTAACAAGGGGAGGACCAGAGGACACTGCAGAATACCTGACTGAAAAAGGAAAAACAGGGTCCAGAAAAAAGGTTTGCCTTCAGTCATTTCTATTTATTAACTATGAAAAAAATTAAGGAACACTGAGGGATTCCCAAATATTCTAACTGTATTTGGCAAACATCAACTAGAGCTAAAAGTTAATGTTAGTGGTTAAGCAAGACAATGGTTACCACACATGGAACTTAAAACACACCACCTTTATAAAATATTGATTTTACATGGTAAAAATCAGTAAATCTTCATGAAAAAAAATACATCCTGGAGTGGCTGTTTCCCCATCACCATTACTAGTTGTTCCATGCCACTTATCTTGTGCAATATTGAAAGCCGCAGAGCACTCTGCTGTCTTAGAAAAGTTGAAGGCCACTTTTTATTTTATGGAAGTCATTCTGGGTCCATAACAATCCTCCTGTCACAGGAACATTCAATTCTGCAGAGCTGTGAGAAGACGAGAAATAAAGCACATAAGCAGTGAGCTGGTTTAGAAGCTCACATCACCAAAGTAATGTTGATAGCACCTTAAACTTAACAAGTTTTATTTTGAAAACAAAATGTCATTTCTCATTTTTAGCTCTCGACACTTAGCTGCTGCAATGTCCTTAGTTTTTCATCAGTTCACATTCAAGAGAGGCAGCAGTCCTGAGGTGCCAGAAGTACCAAAGCACAAACCAAAGGAAATGTTACCAGTTACCAACAATTGTGAGGGAGACATGACTTCAGAAATAACCACACAAGAATTTTCATCTGAACCTTCATCTGTCCTTTGCAGCTAGGAATACAAGCTCATCAGGTGAAATGCTAACACAGCAAGTAGTCAATATGAGAACAGTCTGTCAGAAGCTACAGATGTTACAAAGCCTATACACTCTGCACACAGAAACTAGCCATTTCTATGACTTTACAAAGAAGTCACAGAAACTAGTGCTTTCAGAGACTTTAAAGGAAGTTGTTGTTTGGTGATAGACACAGCATGCCAAATAATTTCTAATTTTAGAAGGTGGTTCACTCAAACAGGTGTAAAATCCCTTTTCATAGCAGAAGTTACCCAGTTAGGGCTGAGTCCCAGGAGGTCCCCCAAACAATGACCTGTTTACATGACAGCTCGCTAACACAGCATACAAAGCAACAAGTAAAATTATTTTACAGAGTGTTCCTAGACATAAGGCACTGTCAAACACAAGGCTCAAAGAACAGTTTGAGAATGTAAGTAAACCCTTCCCTACCCCAAGTTTTACCATGTGAAGGAACTTATATCACTACCATATTGTTAAGTAGGTCAGATAAGGGTTTGTTTTATCATTTTTATTCATTTTATGAGAATGGTGAAGGTGAAAGCTAAATTTTATCAATAAAAGAAATCCTTAAAGGATCCACTTGAAACCTGGTATCTGACATTGTGAAGGAGAAACAGGGAAAATGTGTTTGTCTTGTACATGTTTTTCACTTTCTCTATTCCTTATGCCCAAGGAAAGCTCATACACTCCTAGCTATAACCTAGCATCCTCCAGGATAAGAATATATTCCCTGCCTACTCACTGTCTTTACCCTTCAGCACATATTAACCACCCCTCTCACCTACCTGCTTATGCATCTCATCCTTAGGACAACAAAATCCAGTCATTATCCATGACCATGATGAATCCCATTTTTGAAATGTCTGTGCAACCACTTGATGCAATCCCTAAAGCAATTGCACATCAGCAACTCCACCCTCAGAAAACTCTCCAAGTGGTCATTATTTGCCAAGTTTGCCCCTCCTGTCAGGTAAAATTGACACTGGGAATAAACAAAAAGCACATATGCTTATTACAAAAACCAAAACGACTGCCTGAGGATGACAGCAGCTATTCAAAGTTTCAGAGGTTGCCACAGCAACACTAAACACAAACTTTGACAACACAGATACAGAGCATACACCAGAAAACCCACCAAAGAACAGAGTCTTTTGGGATCAGGGAGGAAGGAACCCCAAGCTTTTCCAAAGTATCCAAGCATCACAGGAACTTATGTCTCATGTTAAAACAAAACAAAAAACCTCTGAAGACAGAAAATAATTTCTGCAAACAAGATTGAGATGTTTGGAAAGTTTTATTTATACAGCAACTTCAAGCTACACACCAAAAAACTCAATGCCTTTTCCAGGTGTTCAGTACAGGAATAACCGGCTATATAGCAGAGGCTGTTGTTCAGAGCTCCTGAGAGACAGATAATTTCTCCTTTAAGGTCAAAACACCTCTTAGACGCTCCCTGTTCAGATGAGACGCTGCCAGAGGCCTTGCAGACAAAGCCAACACAGAAACATCACAGCTATCACACCCAGTGTAATGACGCAAGAGTCTTTCTCTGACTGTTGGAAACTATCCTGAATTCAGCCTGCTAATGGGATAATTTTTCCTCCCTTGTGATGTATACTCCTCATCATTCATGACTTCACAGACCTGCTGTCATTCCCAGGACAGGGATTCAGGGGACAGACACTGACATCATTCTCTGTCTTAACTGTACTGCAAGAAGGTTGCCAAGAACAAGCTCATCATAGCAGATCAACCACTTTTCAGGAGGGAAGAAACTGGAGTATCACCAAGCAGAATAACAGCACTTTATCACTTGGGATTCAAGGGAGAAAGGGCCGTTTCCATAATAAGTGCTACTTTTTCCCCCAGCCACTTGCTTGCCACTAGTTTCTTCCAATAGTGTATCTGCAAAGACAGCTAAATACGTGACAATGGAGTACAGCCTCAAAATTCACTGGTTTTGGCTGGATTCATCTTTTTTGAACTATTTTGCTTCTCTGAGATCCAGGCTATTCTGTTTTGGAAACAGCATGCTCATCTTTGGGAAGATCTGATGGCAAACCACAGAAACTGTGTGTAAAGGGTTCCACAAGAGCGTTCCACAAATGTCCAAAAGTTCCACAAACTGTGTGATAAGTGGCAGGCAGAAAACTATGAGCAGAGAAAGAACAAAAAATTACTTATCCAGCATCCTTGTGGGGGAAAACTTCGTGGATAGCTAGGCTGTTGCTTTCAGCATAGGGAAGGCACATTCTCCAATTTTCTGAACATCCAGAAACAACAACAAAAGCAGAAAAAGAAGTGAAACACAGGAAAAGAGATGGGCTCTTGATTGTCTCTCAAGATTGAGCTCATCTTTAAAAGGGGAGGGAGGTTGTCAACTAAAACATATTTTTCCTGGTATGTAATCAAGTTTTGCTACAGATTCATAGGAACTATTTAGTAAGAAGCACAGACCTCAAACAAGGCAGGCAGAATTCTGGCAGATTTTAAACAACATAGATTAAACACATCATAAGATCACCAAGCACTCCATTCTCATCTGTGGACCTGGTGAATTAGGGCTGCAGCAAGAGGTTCTGCTTCTGTAACATGACCTGTCCAAAGCGCTTTTTCCAAATTAATGTCAAACTCCATGCTCTGGAAACCCATTCTGCAGTTCATTACCTTCATTTGCTTTAAGTCTGTGGAGCCAGAGAGAAAGACAAAGACAGCCACAGCTTTTAGAAAGGGCGTGTCCCATTGCCTATACTGCAGATGCTTTTTGCAAGCATCTTATGGATATTTTCAAAGTAAAGTGTCAAATTTTCACAATCTCTCATACCATACTGTGGTATCCCTACAGTCAGCCTGGCAGAACAGCTCTCTGCAGATAGAGAAGTTGGAGGGCAGTATCAAAGAAGCAGCAAACAGCAAACACCCCTTCTGGAATAGCCCACACAAACCCCTTTTGAAGGGGAAGCAGAAAACCCATGTAGCTGCAAGACTGTGGACAAAAGTTTCTACATAGAAGAATACATGAGAAGTAGGCAAGAAGATCTGCTCCCCTCTGCCTCTGGGCAAGTCAGACAACCTTCCTGATGCCACATGGCCTTTGGCAAACAGAGAAGCTGCCATGCAAGGGAAATAAGAAGAACGAACAAGCTGCTGTTGTAACACTCCTGATGAAATGTGGATTGTTTCCAGGCACAGCTACAGGAGTAAATCAGGTTCCGCTCCTTTTTATTTCTGGTAACAACAGGTTTTCCTCATGTTTCTTTCTAAGGTTTTTTACTTGGCCTCCTGCCAGGCTGTGATCTGAGTGGCAGAAACTGTCTGCCCCTCTCACCCACACAAAAGAGATGCAGAAACATGTGTTACTTTTGGCCTGGTATGTGCTTTTTCATTTTCTACATGGGTATTTTCTAGTAATACAAGCTGCATGACACATTACACTGTTCAAAAAATAGCCAACTGGAAGCAGCACATGAGGAGAAAAAGAAAACCACCTCCCTGGCTGAATATAGACGAAGCTGTTGCAGTCACTCCTCTCTGTATCTCTGCATCTTAGCCCATATGGAAAACAATTATTGGGTGCAGAGGGAAAAGCAACACCTGCTGGCTTTTTTCAGAGTCTGCACAATGAAGCACTGAAATCTATGTGTCTGGCTTGCAACTTTTTAGTCTGCAATCAGTATACAGTCAGTCCTTACCATGACTAAATGCAGTCCAGGCATCTTCCTCCAAATGAACCTTGTGCTACTGATAAAGGAAGGAAACATTAAACCGGTCAATTAGCTTGATCTAGACCATTGCAGAATTTGATCTGCCAACATGAGAGACAAACTTTTCTTTGACATATTATTTGCTGCTTGTGACCTGCATGCTGAAATGGTTTACTGGCAGGCCTAGAAAGAACTCTCAGTCACAGAGGCGAAAGGACAGCATAATACTTGCTAACCTATGAGAACTCCACAATTTAATGAAAATAAAATCTATTTAAAGACTCCCCCCTGCAGTCAATCACAGATCAAAAGATCTTCAATTCTGAAGCCAGTAAAGAAATGATCATCCTTTCAAAAATGGGGGGGGGGGGACGCGCGAAAAGACATATCTGTTTCTTTTTCAGGGTATAAGACTCCAAATACTGTTAGGTGAACAGAAGCTGCACAAAAAAAAAAATCAAATCCACAACATAAACACTCCCACATTTGCTCTCTAAGTAGCCAGAACTAGGTGCTTCAGAAGACACCACAAAACCAAACAGAAACAATAAAATACTTGTACTACAAAGTTGCTTTTTCCCAGTCGCAGGCTCTTTGTGGTTAACTTATATGTCCTCAGATATACTACTCCTGAAAAACAAGTACTAACTAGATTCCACTGGATAGTCTTACTGTTCCTATAAACACCTCAAATTAGTTTTTGTTTTGGACAAAAGTGGTTACATGTGGAGGCTTCTTTTCAATTAGTTTTTAGGTTACTACTAAAACTACTTCAGCCGTTTATTGCTATTATCAGTTTTCATTGAGGAAGTGGGAAGAGAAACGAGCAGAGATATTTTCATAAAATCACTGAGGTTGGAAGAAACCTCTGAAGATTGTCTAGTCCAATCCCCCTGCTCAGGTCATCTGGAACAGGCTGGCCAGGCCCACGTCCAGCTGG